GTTTTGCTGAGAACAGGGGGCCAGAGGAGGAGGCAGGAACATTCCTTCAAGCGCCAGCGGCGCCCGGATCTGTGGCCAAGTTTAAAACCACCGGAGGCAACACTGCTCCGCCCACTGACCGCCCTCAAATACCACAGAAGCAGAGTCGACCTTGATGAAACACACAGGTTCTGGTGTTTTCAGCGATCGTGAGTGACTTTACACAACTTGAGATGCGTCACCTTATTCTGTCCTGGTTCGAATCTCGGCCTTTCCTATGAGGAAACCGCTTCAGGTGATGAAACTAACCCTCAGGTCACTGGTTCCCGGTGACGAAGCCAAATTTCCATCCCGGCGTCTGACTCGGCACCGGCCTGCTTCCCACCCACCATCGCTCCTGACACCTTTGGGAATCATGACACTGAAATGAAACGCGAGCCTGTCAAGCACTGGGGCCCGTGCGTCCGTGACAGGCTCCATCCTAATCCCTTCCTGAGAGGACTATTTGGAACCGATCTCTCGTGTCACCAAGAAGGGTTTTAATCTGTGAAAACGTTTCAATGAAAACACATTTACTTCCATTTCATAAAAGAAATTGTTGTTTGTGCAGCTAAAGTTGTTGAAGTCCATGAACACACCAAGGTAAAGCTCTTCTGGAGAAACAGAAAGGGTACAGTTGGTCCACAGCCCCGAGGAACTATGCCCTCAGTTCCCAAGACGGGTTCCATTCACAGCGAGGACTACTTTCCCCAAGGTTTTTCCAAACTACTCAGCTCCAAAAGTAAATATAACTGAGCACAGCATAACTCTCAAAATCTCACCATCCGACGTGGTCTGACGTCTAACGTCTGTCAGCCAGCTTCCCAAGTGTCCCCCAAAGAGCCTCTCAGCCCCAGGACTGAACGTCTTAGCAGGTCGCTCAGCTACCTCTCTCCCTGAAGCTCCAGGGTTCTTCCAGGGAGCCTGACCCACCCGGGCCCAACGCTTAAGCAGGATCGAATTAGATGGAGAGACAAGATAATGCGCTGCTTCCCGGACAGAAGCTTTCCAGCAACCCAGCGACTTACCACATTTTTCATAAATGGCGAGAATTAAAAACAAATCAACGGTGACACAAATATTTCATCCCATAAACTTTACCCTTGTTTTCATGACGCACAGGCACATGGGTGAAGGTCCCTAATTCAGAGTTAGCGTCATGCGAATTCGCTGCACATAGAACCCAGACTTAGTCCAGTAAATAGCTACTCTAAATGATCTTTGCTGCGTGTGCTCTTCGACGCCTGTCTTACTTCTGCTCAGTGAGGAAGGACCTTGAGACCAGGAGGTGGAGAGAGCTAAGCATTTCCAAGCACTGAGACCCCACGTTCCTGCCTCACTGCCCCTCCCGGGCCTCCTGGGTGCAGGCATCCAACTCCACTGCATTTTTCTGGGGCAGCGTTTCAAGAGCATGACCAGAGGAAGCTCAGGCTCTCTTAGGGAAACCAAGCCTGAAAATCCTGCAGGATCATAACGCGTGAAAAAGCACAAAGGAGAAAAGCATCACTGTGAGGGGAGAACTTAGAAACAGTGACAAGAAGTACTGTTTTTGTCCCCTCCCCTAGATGCTACAGTAGGTCTGAGCTGAATAGCCCTGCTTTCTTTCTGTTTCTCTTAAGAAAATATCCAATTTTATTTCACACCATTTCAAACCTGCCCTCTCCTGACAGAGGCTCTCATTTCTGTGACTCGTGAAAATTGCAGACATCCATCAACCAACTCAGGGACCAAAAGGAGATGCTGCAAAAACCAGGGCTAAAGTGCGAGGGCTGGGAAGGGGCTCAGAACCTCCTAACAACACAGAAAGTATTCGAATCCAGTCAAAGAAACCCAGACCTGGGCTCTAATTACTGGCTGGCTTTCTGCATGGAGCGGAGTTCGTTGGTTCCCATGGCTTCACCCTGACACCCTCTGCTTAGGAAATCTGAGTGCAGCCAGCTTCTGCACGCTATCCTTCCTTCCTCCAAAGCCTCACATCAGAAAAGGAAAGAAGCGGAGGAAACTCACCCAGAGAGAAAGGAAGGTGGCGAAGAGGAGACAGCGTCTGCCTCACGGGCTCACCGGGCTGCAGGCTCCGGCCGAGGGAAGCAAAGCACGTCTCCCTCCAAACGTCCAGCCTCCCTCCCATTTATGGCTGAGGAGATGCTATTTATAGACCCTTGGGAAGCCTGGCCCCTCGCTGATACCTGCATCATAAATCATCAGCCTGCTCTTAGGAGGGAAAAAGTTTCATTCGAGGCGGAAAAATCGAAAAGTGAAAAGCATCCTTCCCGACTCGCAAAGTGCATTTCTCACGCCCAGGAAACTGAGGAAGCAGCTACCGACGGAGAAAAAGAGGGCAGGGCCCTGACATCCCCCGCCCGCCCTCCCCAGACCCCGCTGCACCCCGAACATAAATTCACAGACGTATCTTTAATGCTTTGGGGCTAAAGTTTCCCTGGTACCTAAACGGACGCTCGCAGATGAGTCTCTAACACAGACTTGATTGCAATAAGCATTTTCACTGTTTTGACACCAAATCCCGAGAGTGCTGTTAGCCGTGGATGGAGGGAAGGTGGCCTCTGGGGTGCGTGTGTGTGTGTTTGGTTGGGTTTTTTAAAATTTATTTCAGAGATGACTCAAGCTCTGACTTGGTTTCATCCTGGGGTTAATGTAGCCAGAACTTCTACCTAAAAGAGGACCCATGCCTAGTCGGCAAGTTACGTCTTATTTATAGTTATTACCACCGGCGTGCGCGGCATCTAACCCGCCCAGATGACTGCAGGGTGCAGCATGTGTCCAAGTATAAATAACACACGACTGGCATGATTGATCAGGGCTGTCACAGGGAGCCTATCGCCGAGAGGCGGGCCGAGTCGGGATGCCCCGCCTCAGAGGCCAGAGCTGACTGCAGCCATGTCCCAGGCTCAGCTGCAGTGGGGCTGTTTCCCCGCTGGCACAATGTGTGTGAGAACAACCGGCTTTTAAGTCTGCTGCAAAAATTAGTGAGAATAATATATAGGAAGTGCCTGGGAGTCCAAAAAACTCCCTGTCCCCACATCTGGCTTATCAGGAACGTAGCCAAGGACCAGCAGCACAGGTCAATGGATGAACGAGATAAATACCACAAAGGCACACAAGACACGGAAGCAACCCCAGTGCCCGTCGACAGATGGATGGATAGAGAGGACGTGGTACATACATATGATGGAATACTACTCAGCCATTAAAAAGAATAAAATCATGCCATTTGCAGCAACGTGGATGTACCTAGAGATTATCATACTAAGTGAAGTAAGTCAGACAAAGACAAATATCATATGATATCGCTTATATGTGGAATCTAAAAAAATAGTACAAATGAATCCATATATAAAACAGAAACAGACCCAAAGACAGAAAACAAACTCATGGTTACCAAAGGGGAAAGGGGGGGAGGGATAAATTAGGAGTTTGGGATTAACATATACACACTGCTGTATATAAAATAGGTAACACACAAGGACCTACTGTACAGCACGGGGAACTATATTCAATATCTTGTCATAACCTATTGAGATAGTGGAAAATAATCTGGAAAAGAAATATATATTGATATATATGCATAACTGAGTCACTCTGCTGTACACTTGAAACTAACACAATCTTGTAAATCAACTATACTTCATTAAAAAAAACAAGATATCACAAAGGCACAGAGTAAAAGCTGTTTACTTCACCATCTGAGCATCCCTGCATCCTCTCCATCCAGCCATTCACTGTCCTCCCTAAACACTGCCATCTATGTTCCGAACGTGGGCTGAACCTGCAAGCAGACAGGAGCCGAAGAGAGGAAACCCGGAGGATGTGGTCAGAGGTGTGAGTTACAGCCACCCTCCCCGGCTTCCCAACCACAGGGATTCCCTTTTTTTTTTACTGAAGCCACTTGGCATTGGGTTTCCATCACGTGTGACCTAAAGAATCCTGACTAATGCAAAGAAAAGCTTCAGTGATTGTACTTCTACAAATTTAGCTAAAATTTGCAATAAGATGGAGGAAAAACATGATATCAAGGAGAAATGTCAGAGGACATAAAAAAGGAGACTGAAAGCTAAAACGTGGCGTCAGAAACGTTCTGAATCATGGAAACCTCGGGGTCACATGGATTACGGGGCAAAGTTAAGTCCTAAGGATTTCATGAAATTATAGCACAGGGCCAAAATAGATGCTCAATGCAGAAAAATCTGTTCGAATACTTGAAAAAAGTAAAATTATTCTAAGATATTTTGTTAACTTCCATACATTCTGTCTCAGAAAGCACCAAAAGAAATGGTCTAACGCAGTTTAGAAAACGTCTATCCAACTGGCCGGATATTCGTGACTATTTCATGTTGCAAAGATCGAAGGCCCGTCAAAAAGAAGCTTCCAGGCTTTGGCGAGAACACGAAGCAGAGCGTCAATGACGGTGGAAACGGCACTGCTGGCCGTCTGGAACGTGTGCTGGCCTTTATCTCCTCATGTCCACAGTGGGTCCCCCACTAACAGATGGCTGCCAGGAGGGGCGCCCGGAGAACTGGGCCCCCTTAGCCCCAAATACGCCAGCTCTTTCTCCCGACTGCTCATCTCTCTGTTGTTGAGGGTTTCACTTCTCACCAAAGAGAACTGATCCTGACATTCTTGCTGCAGTGGCCCATCCTGAGCCTCTAAGCTGGACACATGCACTGCCCAGCTCACTGCCCTGCTCAGCCATCTTCCCAGCAGATGCCACCTGACAGGCCCCACAGGGGAGGGGGGCAATGCCCATCACAACTCCCCCATGAATTTCACTCCCTTCAGACTGCTGGCCTGCCTGTATGGGGGCTTAAGCCTGTCCCCCCAACCCTGCCCCCTGGACCCTGTCCCCCGGACCCTGCCCCCCGACCCTGCCCCCTGGACCCTGCCCACCCTGGACCCTGCCCCCCTGGACCCTGTCCCCCCTGGACCCTGCCCCCCGGACCCTGCCCCCCCCAGACCCTGCCCCTGGAGCACAACCATCCTGTGAGGCAGCTGCCCCACTGAGGCAGGCACGTCCTAGAGGAGCTCAGTAAATAACTCACCCAAGAGAAACCACAGAGCAGGATTTTAAACACCAGCTTCCTGTCTGGCTTCCTGTCCATGTTCTCAGCTGCTCCAAAGGGCAACCAGAATTTTCTCAGCCCTCTCAAACAATCCCACATTTTAGGCAATGAAGCAGCACCTCGAATGGTAAGCAAACCCTGCATATGAGAAACGAGAACCGTAGACCCGGACAACTCCATTAGGCCATCAGCCCCATCACTGGCCCTCCCTTTCAAGCCCCGGAAATGTGAGTACCACAAAGGAGGTACACTTGGAGAAACGTGCTTTGTCCTTCTCTCTCTCTTCAGAATGTCTTTCTTCCTAGACATGTGTGTCTGTGTGTTCCATATCTGGATTATACGGGAGAATGGTTTAAACCTCAAGAAAAGCACATGTCTAGATGAGAACTTTCTGAAAATGTTCGTCGTACGAGTGTGACCTTGTTCAGAGAGATGAAACCACCCCCTTTTTAAAATACCTGTGGTCAAGAAAAAAGACTACAGAATGGAGAATTTCATCAGAGAACTGGAGTTTATTTTTTTAATAACATATATTTTTTTGGTAATTTATCCTTTACTCTTTTTTTTTTAATTAATTTATTTCTTTTATTTATTTCTTTTTGGCTGTGGTGGGTCTTCGTTGCTGCGCACGGGCTTTCTCTAGCTGTGGCGAGCGGGGGCTACTCTTCGTTGTGGTGCGCGGGCTTCTCATCGCAGTGGCTTCTCTTGCTGCGGAGCACGGGTTCTAGGCACCCGGGTTTCTGCTGCTGTGGCTCGCCAGCTCTAGACGCAGGCTCAGTAGTTGTGGCGCATGGGCTTCATTGCTCCGCAGCATGTGGGAACTTCCCGGACCAGGGCTCGAACCCGTGTCCCCTGCATTGGCAGGCGGATTCTTAACCACTGCGCCACCAGGGAAGCCCTACTCTTTTTTTTTTTTAAAACAGACTTTTTTAGAGCCGTTTTAGGTTCACAGCAAAATGGAGTGGAAAGTATGGTGGTTTCCATCTACTCTGGTCCCCCACATAAACACCCGCCCCCATGACCAACACTCCACAACAGGGGTGCCTTTGTCACAATTGTCACTCCAAGTCCTCTTACATTCGGGGTCCCTCTTGGTGTACTTTCTATGGGTTTTGGCAACTGTATGACATTTATTCACATTACAGTAACATATAGAGGAGATTCATCGACTAAAAATCTTCTGTGCTCTATTCATCCCTCCCCCCAACCCCTGGCAACCACTGATCTTTATACTATCTCTATAGTTTTGCCTTTTCCAGAATGTCACACAGTTTGTGGACTTTTCAGGTTGGCTTCTTTCACTCAGTGATATGCATTTGAGGTTCCTCCATGACTTTTCATGGCTTGAAGGTTTACTTCTTCTCAGTGCTGAACAATATTCCATTGTCTGGATACACCACAGTTTATTTTATCCACTCACCTACTGAAGGACATCTTGGTTGCTTCCAAGTCTTAACAATTATGAATAAAGCTGCCATAAACTTCCCTGTGCAAACGTTTATGCGAACATGAATTTTAACTCGTGAAACTTGTTTTCATGAGTCTTCCAACTCATCCAGCACCATCGCTGGATCACAGGGTAAGAGTATGTTTAGTTTTGTGAGAAACTGCCCGACTGACTTCCAAAGTAGCTGTATGCCCACCTCTGCATCCCCGCCAGCAGTGATGAGAGTTCCCGTTGCTCCGCACCCTCACCAGCATTTGATGGTGTCAGTGCTCTGGATTTTGGCCCTTCTAATAGGTGTGTAGTGGTATCTCCTTGTTTTAATTTGCACTTCCCTGATGACACGTGATGCGGAGCATCCTCTCATATGCTACTTGCCATCTTTGTATCTTCTTTGGTGAAGTGTCTGTTCAAGTCTTTTGCCCAGTTTTTAATCAGGTTTTTCATTTTCTTTTGTTGATTTTTAATAGCCCTTTGTATATTTTGAATGAGTCCTTTATCAGATATGTCTTTGGCAAATCCTGCTCCCAGTCTGTGACTTGTCTGTTCATTGTCTTGACAGTGTTCTGCACAGAGCAGACATTTTTAATTTTCACCAAGTCCCACTGATCAATTATTTCTTTCATGAATCGTGTCTTTGGTGTTGTACCTAAAAAGTCATCGCCATGCTCAAAGTCATCTAGACTTTTCTCTTAGAATTTATTGTTTAAAAAGAATAAAACGAAAATTCTAGAACTGAAAAATCCAACTATAGAAATTAAGAACTTAATAAACATTTTTAACCACACTCCATTTCTCTCCTCCGCTCCTAAGGCCAATACGCCCCCCTGTGCTGTGGACCCCATCCCTCTCGTGCGGAATAATCCCCAGAGCTCATAGAGGGTCAGGAACACTTTGTGAGCCCATCAGCCAGAAAGGAAAAGCTCACAGTTCACGGGACATGTGAAGAGGTGCTCAACAGGGCACAGACTAAGCAACACATCAAATTACCCTAAGGTAAGGCTGCTCTCACATCTCTATAAGCTCAAGAAGGAGGGAATGCATTGAACATGCTAAATAAAAACACAGACGGTATTGAGAAGATCCAAGTGAAACTTTTAGAAAGTTCCACGTCTGAGGTTTTTCAGGTACTGATGGGATTGACGGCACATTACTTCAGAAACAAATATCGCTGAATACTGAGGATGCAACAATAGAACATATACAAGATAAAATACACAGAGAAAAAAGATGGGAAAAAATAAAAAGAGTCTCAGAGAGCTGCAGGACATCTTGAGGCAGGTAATTACACACATGGACTTCGGGTCCCCAAGGGATTGGGCTGGACAGAATATTTGAAGAAATAACTTGCAAAATATTCCTAAAACTGCTAAAACTACAAACCCACAGACACAAGAAGCTCAACAAACATCAACTTCAAGAAACATGGATGAAACTATGCAAGTCATATCGATATCCAAGCGCTTAAAGTCAGTGATTAAGAGGAAAGCTTAAAAGCAAAAAGAGGAACAAGACATTTTCTGCGGAGGAATGAGGCTAGGAAGGAGTTTTCACGGAAACAATGCAAAGGACGGTATTCAGCCAAAAGAAGGAAAAAACCTTTCAGAAACGAAGGTGACCCCTGCCCATGCACACACACAGCCAGGGTGCTGTGAGTAGGAACCCCAGGAGACACCCCTGCCTCATACCCAGGGTGTCGGCCGAGGCCCGGGGGGCGCCTGGTCTCACCCTCCTGTCTGCTCAGGGTGTCCACGCTGTCGCCCCGCAGCCGCGTCACTACCCGAACGTCCTTCCAGCGTCCTCCAGCCGTGGGAACAGGGCCCCCAGCCCCACACGCGCTCCAGCTGCAGCCTCGCCCTCCTGGCCTGGCTCCCAACCTGCACATGCTCGCATTCCCCGTTTATCCCCTTTCCATTCGTCCTTTGGCCTCCTCCAATCCACCTTCTGTTCCCATCACATCACTCACCAAAATAGCTCTGTCACCCACGACCCCGTGTCACCACCTCCAAGGGACGTGTCTGCTCTCAGGTTCCTCAACCTCCGGCCACCGTCTGACCCCTACGGCCACCTCCCTCCCAAGACATGCGATCCCACCGTGAGATGTCAAAGCTGCCCCAGGGCACTGCTCACGGCCCCTTCTCTTCCCAACTGGGCCCCGTCCCCTTACCCTTCGGAGGCTCCACCTGGAAGCAGGTGTCTCCCCGGGTGGGGGGCGCCCAGAGTGTGTGTCCAGCTGCCCTCCCTCCCCCATCGGAAGCGTAGATGGAACCTTACACTCAGCAAGGCGAAGACTGAACTCGGGCCCCCTCCTGCTGCCCCGTCTCCGTGTCCAGCGGTCCCCACCCCACGAGCAGCACGAGGCAGGGAGCACGGGCGCCTCCCCCAGGCCCTTCTGAGCCTGCACAGTCTTCCTCCTGGACACCCTCAGTCCCGCCACCTCGGACCCCCTCCAGGGCCATCGCCCCAGGCCAAGTTGGGACCGGCTCCTGCTGAACGGCGACAGCCTCTCTCCGCGCCCATCCTGGCTCCTCTGACGCGTACTCTCCAGACCACGACCAAATAAATGTCTCAAAAAGCAAATCGGAGCAGTCACCCCACGCCCCTCAGAGCCCTTATGTCTTAATCTAAAGACCAGCACCTTGACGTCTGAGCCCCGCCCACAGGGTCCTGGCTGGAAGGCTCCAGGTTGGTTGCACGGCCTCCCTCTTTCTGCTCAGGTAACCCCTGTTCAAACCTCATCTCGAGCACCCATTTTTCAGGCGCCTTTTCTGAGCCCAGTCTGAGTGGGGTTCCTCCGTTACGTCCTCCCCAGGGCCCTCGCTACGACTGGTACCCGCGCATGCGCACTGACGCGGGCGCCGGTCTGGCTCGCCCATCTCACCGGCAGGGCTCTGAGCACCGGGTGCTCTGCTGGCCACGAAAATACAGGGGCTCAGCTACAAACCCACTCAAAAAACACTCTCAACAAAGAAGAGCTTCCTACTGAATACACCAAACTAGTTAACGTGCCTCCTTCACTGTGAGCAAGAAACTGTGTGGTGACCCGACCAGTGTGCTCGTCCCAACATCAAAGCAACCGGGTGGCCTGGAGCATTTCTCAGCGTCTCTGTAATGGAGCCCGAAGTTTTTCCATCTTTTGTAAATCAAAACTAATCCTAGGAAACCTGGCCCCAGCTCTCGGCCTTGTACCTTGCAGGTATCATGTGCGCATTCTCTTCCGTGTCACCTCCGACGCACTCCTCACCGAGATGAGGGTGCCGGGAGCCCCCAGGGCCATGGGTGACGTGCAGCCCAGCTCACCCGGGGTCAGATGTCTCCCAGCTCGTGAGGTTCATCTGGACCAGACAGAGGATAAAAATTGTCTTAGCAGAGGAGAGACCCAAAGAGGCTACGAAAACCCATGTGGGAGAGGAAAGGCTGACGTTGAAGCCGCTTATAGTTGTCAAGGCAACCACAGATGTCTACATCTTGGCAACGTTCAGGATTACAATGCGATCCTTAATGCAATATTCACGGCTGTGTTTTAAAACTCCGAGAACTGCCTCCTGACTGTTAGAACCGTACCCTGTAGGCCTTTCTTCTAAACCAACTGTCCCCAACGGCCAAGGACTGGTGCAGAGACAGGAGCTGGTTTACATCTGGACTCTCACTTTGACCAGATCGTGCCTGGCCCATCGTACAAGCTCAACAATATATTTTTACTAAATGAGAAAGCATGGCCTTTATCCTGTAGACGCTATTTACGGGTTCCTGTGTACAGCTATGGCCCTCAATTAATGGGAAGTTAATCTCTACCCTGTCATTAAATAATCACAGCAAGGGCAGAGGAGGTAAGACGTGGCCAGAGGGCCCTGAGCTGTTGTCAAGGGCACTGGCTCCGGGCCTGGTTTTCCTGTTTGTTAATCTGTTGCTGAAGCTGCGTGCCTTGGGCAGACTCTCTCCACCCTCCCAGATCTTGGCTTCCCCACTGGGAAAGTGAGACTTAAATTAGATGATCCTCGTCTAAGCCCAGATACGCTATGATTTCAGTCCTGAACGATCACGCCAGGAGAAGAGAGCCTCACCCACTCCAACACGGTCGCCAGCGGCCTGGCCCAGAATAGGATCCAGGAAACAGGAACCAGAGCACAGGATGGTCCTGCCAAGAGGATTCTGAAAGTGCTTAACGGCTTAAAGATCACCAACAACACAACAAGCCAGGTGCTTGTAAACTAGAGGCTGTCATAAAACAAAGGCGGGTGGAAAGTGCAGGAGTGAGTTCAGCTGGCAGGGACCACCTGTCCTGTGCACAGCAGGAGACAGACCGCGTGCCCCTGGGCTCCGGGGGGCTGCACGTGGTGAGGACAGAGGCCCAAGGCCAGCCCACGGGGGACGCTCAGAACCAAACAGAACATCCCGTCCGGCCCTCACTTCACCCTATAAACTCGGAAACTGAGGCCCAAAAAGGTTAAAAAACGTTGGCAGGGTCACATGCCTTGCATGGGTTTGAACTAAAATTCAAATAGCTTTATTTTCAGGCCCTCATGATTTAGCCTCCAGGGAGGAGTTGGTTCCCACAGTGGGTGTGTGAGGCCAGGTCAAGGTCAAGGTGACGGCCACGACCAGTTCAGCAAGCGACTTGGGCCACGACCCACTCAGGGAAGCCACAGCCAGGGTGAGTTACGGGGTGATCCACACACAGGTCAAGTCTGCTGAGGGGCCAGGCCCACAGGACGCATCCAGACATGGGCTCTGAGGTCCAATCCTTTTTTTTTTTTATTCAAGTATAACTGATGTACAATGTGACACGTTACTGGTGTACAATATAGTGATTCACAATTTTTAAAGGTTACACTCCATTTATAGTTATTATAAAATATAGGCTGTATTCCCTGTGCTGTACAGTCTATCCTTGCAGTTTATTTTATACCTAATAGCCTGTACCTCTTACTCCCCTCTCCGTATGTTGCCCCTTCCCCCTTCCCTCTCCCCGCTGGTAACCACTAGTTTGCTGTCTACATCTGTGAGTCTGCTTTTTTGTTATATTCACTAGTTTGTTTTTAGATTCCACATATAAGTGACATCGTACGGTATTTGTCTTTCTCTATCTGATTTATTTCACTTAGCATAATGCCCTCCTAGCCCACCCATGTTGCTACAAATGACAAAACGTCATTTGTTTATATGGCTCAGAAGTATTCCATTGTATATATATGTACCACATCTTCTTTATCCATTCATCTGACGATGGACACTTAGGTTGCTTCCATATCATGGCAATTGTAAATAATGCTGCTGTAAACATCTTTTCTAATTAGTATTTTCATTTTTTTTTGGATGTATACCCAGGAGTGAGATTGCTGGATTATATGGTAGTTCTATTTTAAGTTTTTAAAGGAACCTCCACACTGTTCTCCATAGTGTCTGCACCAATTTACACCAACAGTGCACGAGGGTTCCCTTTTGTCCACACCCTCGCCAACATGTGTTATTTGTGTTCTTTTTGACGATGGCCGTTCTGACAGATGTGAGGTTATCTCTCAGGGTGGTTTTGACTTGCATTTTAAGGTCCAGCTCTTCCTAAGCACGTGGAGGTCAGGAACAGGCTCTAGAATCCAGTGCGGCTCGGTTCTCACCTCCTTGTTCCTGAGAGAAGACACAGTCAGGGCTGAGAACCAGGGTGACATCTGGGCCCAGAGACCTGCTCTGACAATACTAGGCGTTTGAACAAGACAAGGCCTGGAAAACCACAACGATTTCCCCCAGGACGTTCAATTCTGTGTTTACTTGAAATCAAGAATATGTTTGTGTTGGCTCCCCAGGCTTCCTGGAAAACCCCAGATTCTCCCATTCACAGCCATGTGTCCACAATTCTGTTATAATGAAGGACCTTACAACTTATCACCCAGGCTGAAACCATATACGGAATCTAAGAGAAAAAAAAAATGTCATGAAGAACCTAGGGGTAAGACGGGAATAAAGACACAGACCTAGTAGAGAATGGACTTGAGGATATGGGGAAGGGGAAGGGTAAGCTGGGACGAAGTGAGAGAGTGGCATGGACATATATACACTACCAAATGTAAAATGGATAGCTAGTGGGAAGCAGCCGCATAGCACAGGGAGACCAGCTCGGTGCTTTGTGACCACCTAGAGGGGTGGGATAGGGAGGGTGGGAGGGAGACGCAAGAGGGAGGGGATATGGGGATATATGTATATGTATAGCTGATTCACTTTGTTATAAAGCAGAAACTAACACACCATTGTAAAGCAATGATACTCCAATAAAGATGTTAATAAAGAGAGCAATGACCATAAAAAACACTCTGAGACAACAGGCATGTACCTACTGTCACCTGGGGAGTCCGATTTCATGTGTCACCCGGACGGGGCTGAGGGATGCTGGGAGAGCTGGGGAAACGGTATTTCTGGGGGCGTCTGGGTGGGTGTGTCTGGAAGAGATCAGCATTTGAGGTAGTAACTGAGTAAGACCACCCTCCCCAGTGTGGGCGGCTTCATCCAGTCCTTTGAGGTCCTGAATAGAACACACGAGTGTAGGAAGGGACAACGCTCTCTCTTCTTGAGCTGGGACATCCATCTCCTGCCCTCAGATGTCGGGGCCCCTGGTTCTCGGAAATTGCACTTGGACCAAGTCCCACCACCGGCTGTCCTGGTCCCCAGCTTGCAGACGGCTGATGGGGGGCCGCTTCTTGGCCTCTGTAACCCCACGGGCCACTTCCTATAAAAAAAAAACCTCCCCTTGTGCTCGTCTGTCCATCTGTCTGTCCTGTTGGCTGTCTCTCTGGAGGACCCTGACTACCACACCCTCACTACAACCAGCATAAGCTCAGCCCCACGAATGGGGAAGTTGTCACCTCACATCTTGGGGAACCAGAACCGTTTGGGGGCCCAGATGTACTTCATAAAAAGTGAAACACTCGAGAGGCGCTCTCTCTGTGAGGATGACTTTTTTCCTCCAAAAGACCAGTATTTTTCCTTCGGGTCTGATTAAAAGCTGAGTTCACGGGGTTTTGCCATCTTCCCCATGAGCGCTGCACTTTCTTTTCTTCATGCTCATGAGGAGCTTTCACAGAATCATCTCGACTTGAGCGTTACGTTGTCTTCCTTCTTTAAAAGATTCCTTTTCTCATCACAGACTATTTTACTTGGAGAAGACTCTGAGAAAAAAATGTACAGATGATGCCCCCAGTGGTAAAGTATCCTAAGTTCATGGAACGGTTATTCACATAAAATTCTAATTTCAGCCAATTAGGTATAAAACTGCAGACCTAGGGCCTACAGTAGGCCTAGCGCCTAAAAGTACTCAATTATTCATAAATTAAAAGATGATCTTCCGGGCTTCCCTGGTGGCGCAGTGGTTGAGAGTCCGCCTGCCGATGCAGGGAACGCGGGTTCGTGCCCCGGTCTGGGAAGATCCCACATGCCGCGGAGCGGCTGGGCCCGTGAGCCATGGCCGCTGAGCCTGCGCATCCGGAGCCTGTGCTCCGCAACGGGAGAGGCCACAGCAGTGAGAGGCCCGCGTACCGCAAAAAAAAAAAAAAAAAAAAAAAAAAGATGACCTTCCTGAGTTGAATTTGGCACTGATATTAGAAAGTTGAGCAAATTATTTTCAATAATGCACATAAATAAGGCTATTATTATTCTTCCCCAGGAGAGGTCGAAACTGTGTCTCATTTTCTTTTTATTTTAAACAACTATTCCTGGGGCTGGCATAGAATAGACACGTGATAAATACTCCTTATTTGATTGTTTCAAAGAAAATTAAATGAACTGACCTAAGAGATGTGGTCCAGTCAGGAGTGGAACCTGCTTTAATGCTGTGAAAAGTAAAGATACAAGTGTCAACTCTTGACTTTTTTGACGTACAAATGAAATGATGTTAAAGTATCAAAAATTGGGCTTCCCTGGTGGCGCAGTGGTTGAGAGTCCGCCTGCCGATGCAGGGGACGCAGGTTCGTGCCCCGGTCCAGGAGGATCCCACGTGCTGCGGAGCGGCTGGGCCCGTGGGCCATGGCCGCTGAGCCTGCGCGTCTGGAGCCTGTGCTCCGCGGCGAGAGAGGCCACAACAGTGAGAGGCCCACGTACCGCAAAAAAAAAAAAAAAAAAAAAAAGTATCAAAAATTAACAATATATAAACATTATTATTATTACCCCATTCTAGTTTTATAATTCAGCGTTACATTTTATTATGAATTGTCTGCAGATTATCAAGTAGTCCTTTAGCCCAAAGTTTCTTGAACATTTTTGTCAAACTTTTTGGACCCCTATGTGCCCTTAAAAATATCCCAAACAGCTTTTACTTATGTGGGTTATATATCTACCTACATGTGCCACACTAGAAATTTTAATTCACTTTAAAGTAA